TTCCAAGTTATATATGTGCACTGAATTCCCACTCAGAAGTACAAATTGAAGTCTTTGATGAATTCCTTTCTGAATTTTATGCTAAAATTAGTCAAAGGTACCACAGACAAGATCATTTTAGGAAGGTGAGAACATAACTACAAGAAAATACTTTTTTGTCATTCTATACTCTAAGCCTTGTTGTTAAGTCTGCAGAAACTCCCATTTCACTGTACAATCTGCTTGTTACCTTTTCCATGTCCTAAAATCAACCATGTTCTTTCCATCCAGAATTTAAGTCCAGACCCAAACTAGCAACAGATGCAGACAAATGCAAGAAAATCAAGCACTTACTGAATGGCTGTCATATTTCACCTTGGAAATAAAAATCAGATCAAAAGTCTTCTGTTGACTACTTTTGAGAACAGCTTCATTTTAGCCTTAAAAGACCAATGCTGTACAATTACTGCACCACTGGACTCACTGCAGCTGTCACCAATAGGTCTACTCATATTCAAACTACTAATTATTTAGGAATTACAATGTGAAGCACTGTTAATTATCTAGTGTAACTGCATTTTCTGCCAGGAATGCTCTTAGTGTGGTTTTAGCAGATAAAGTTAAATAGGATATGAACTGGAGCCATCTCTCATATGAGGAAAGGCTGAGAGAGCTGGGACTGTTTAGCCTTAAGAAGAGAAGGCTCGGAGGGATCTTATTAACATGTGTAAATAGCTGAAGGGAGGATGCAAAGAGGACAGAGCCAGGCTCTTTTCAGTGGCGGTCAGTGATAGGACCAGAGGTGATGGGCACAAACTAAAACATGGGAGGCTCCGTCTGAACATCAGGAAACACTTTTTCAGTGTGAGGGTGACCCAGCTCTGGCACAGGTTGCCCAGGGAAGTTGTGGAGTTTTCATCCTTGGAGATAATCAAAAGCCACCTGGACACAGTCCTGGGCAACTGCGTGTAGGTGGACCTGCTTGAGCAGGGGGGTGGGATCAGATGACCTACCAGATGACCTCCAGAGATCCCTTCCAACATCAACCATTCTGTGAAGGATAATGCTAATAACAGCTCCAGTCCAAAGAGGGAGCAGGAGTGGACATAGGACCCATACACGTAGTACCTGACATACATGTACTCCAGTCATCTCCTTGCTCAAGTACAGAAGATCTGAAAAGCTGAAGTTGTCTGGCAAATATGAAATTATGTCATAGGTTGTAACTTAATAGTTTATTATACTACATAAATCAAGAGTGAACATTATCTCCATAAGAACTAGATGAAAATCTTTAATAAATAATAATTAGCTGTTTCCTGGGCCTGCCATCTGGTAAGCATTTTTCCTAGCCAGCAACTCCTGCTCCTTGTACTTCTCTAAAGCAGCTAAAAGATGAAGACAGGCTATTCTTTCTCCTTTGTCAGTCCCTTTGGGAAATATAGATACCCAGGATGCTGACAGCCACTTACATCATCCTCCCCACTGTACTTCAGCACTCCACATGTACTGGGCTTCACTGCCCTTCCTGCTTATTCTGAGTCTCCAGTTTCTTAAAAAGCAGTAAGGAGCCAGAAGTTATTGAGACCTGCCTTCCATCCTGCTCTCAGAAACACATGGGCTCCAAGATAACCAAATTAATCATTCTAACCTGTAAGTGGCTGTCATTAGTATTATTATTTTCATCATATAAATTATCTTCCAGATTAGGTCATATGCATTTTGAGATCCTGTGGTTTCCTAGCAACTCCTCTTACCACTCTACATGCAGACACAGTGTGCCGTTTTCTTTTCCTTTTTTAGATTCTCTGTGCAGGGGTTATATTCAGTAACAGTGATCTCAGGCCTGGCCCTAATGACCTTTAGTCTGTCATATTTGTGCGATAAGATGCAGAAGACACCTATCCCCCCACCCTCCCCACAAGACATTTGCAGCAGATGGCCAGAAAAACATGGTCCTCCACTTGTCTATCTTCTGTCCTGCAGACCAGAAGTTCTGAGCTCTGAAGGACAGGGATGACAAAAGCATACCCATGCATGTTAAAAACTGGCAGAGTTTGGAAGACCCCATCAGCCTAATTCTCTAGGTTTCTGACAGCAAAAGACGTGACAGTACGTAGTACAGTTTCCTGCAAAGTACTGCTGCTTCAAAGCTCATGTGGCGTGCCCTAAGTTCAAGGCTTTTGCCTCTGTAATTTAGTCCACACCTGATCTGCCAAGGCATACCTCTGCCAGCTGGCCAAGTCCAGACTGATGCATTCCAACAGGTAACACAAAACTCCTTTGAAAATGGCCAGCTTTTACCTGCTTCCACACTGTAACCCGAGTCTTACACTGCTGCCAGGTGCCCTTCATGTCCTCAATCCACTTTGCTCAGTCATATAAACCAGTGTTGAACCTTTGCTGCACTTAAACTTTTTGTTACTGTCAGGCATGATCAAAGTACTGCATCCCATGTAAACATAAGACATGTACCTAAATTTCACGTAAAGCTTGTGTCACCTGATAGATATGCTTTCCAAATAATGCACACTTACACACAGACTTTCACATAAAAACATGAACTATGGTTTTAGAGTTGTTTCTAGTCCAGTGTGGGAAACTGTCTGGAGGGCCAAACCAATTTTAGGCACCTATTTTAATTAACTTCTCTAGCTGAGTTAATCAAGATATCTACTAAATTTAATCATGATGGGGGCACAGAGTTAGGCAATGTGACTATCCTAGACAATCTTTTGTGTAAGGAGAATAGGATTAACTTCTGTCCTGCCCCACTGACATTTATTAAAATAACAACGTCTGTTCTAAACTACAAAAGCTATGGGCCTTAATTATTTAGATAGCTAGTGGCCCTGTTTCAAAGAAGAAAAGAGAACAGACCTCAGAAACGAACCATCTTCAGTCCACATGGAGTACAGCTATTAATATTTGATCCCCTGCTAGCCTGGAGGCAAAGGGAATAATGTTCATTACAAGAGTCTAAGAATGAACCCACTTTAACAATTGACTGAACTGAAGATGAGGATGAAACCTTTCCTGCTATAGGTGAGGTGAGTAAGTTGACGGACTCTGGTAATTCCTTCAGCAAAGGAGCCGGTATTTTGCCAAGCAGAGAGAAATGGAAGTCTTCTGTGGTTGCCATTAGAGCCTCACTGTAAAGACAATCACTGGATCCAATATCCAGTCCTGATTATGGAACAGATAAGATCGTTGCGAAAAGTAAGGAACAGAGACAAAGGCATGTACTTGCAAACAGAAGAAATAATTCAATGGAAATATAATTAACAGGAACAGGGAGACAATGCCATGTAACTGGGAAATGGAATATCCTTCAGTCCCTTATCCCCTGCTCTCTCCCCCTAACTCATATTCAATAACAGTAGTCTCTGCAGGTTCTGTTCCAGATTACAGTCTCAGGCCAGTCTTATTCGGGACCTAGAGCAACACAGCAGTTTGGGAAAGTCTTCAGAAAAAATGAAGATCCAATTTCATTTTATAGTTGTATCCTCAGTCTACATCTTGCCAATACAACTCGTGCCCCTTTCACAGGGTGACCACATAGCCCTGTGAGATACCTTGGCCCCAGTACAGAGTAAGTTTCATCAGAGGTTTCACTCTCATATACTGACTTGGAGTCTTAACGTTAAAGTGGGACAATGAAATCTAGGTGAAGTATAGAAAAGAAAGTCAATTTTGGATGTCCCCATTTTGGGGCGTCAAAAGAAAACCTATTTTTCAGACTGGTCATAGTCTGTGTCACCCAATTAAAGCTGCAAACTAGCATCCTGTACGTGTCTTTGCCTGAGAAATTGTCTGCTTAAGCAGAAGCTCTTAATGTTAAACAAATCTTTCAAATACTGAGGGCCAGAGTCACTCACGCATGTACAGTAATAGAGCTCCTGGAATTATTACGCTCTCTGGACCCACTGCAGATATTTGCCTCTTGGCTTTACTCTTCCTACAGTGTATACCCATTAGCACCTCTAATTAGAAAGGAAAATCACAAGTTCCATGTTATTTAAAAGATTATGCAGCATTTTAAACTACAGCACAATGTAATTATTTTTTAATAGCCACAGCTATTTCATGTATTTACTTTTAATGGTGTTTGAGTCATAAATTAACAGTAGAAAAGAAAAAGGGAAATCAGCACTTGACAGAGAAGCAGGCAACAATTGAAAAGAAAAACTGAAATGCTAAAAACTGTGTGATCAAAAAGGAAGAGGGCCTTACTAGTTTTTCTTGTTTGCTTTATTCTGGACTGCTTTTTATCATCTAACTTGTCTCCCTAGAGGTAAGAGGGTCAGGGATAAATAAAAATGAGAAGAGTTGAGTGTCTGTGTTATTGCAGACTGACCTCTGTCAGTTTGTCAAAAGACGAGTATTTCTGGACGGAGTCTTATATTATCAGATACCAAAGTTAATAAATTAGCACTACCACTGCAGAGGACAGTCCACCGTCACTAAGGACCGGGTATCACTATGCTAGCTGCAGAACAAGCAGAGCAAGTGACAACACAGATGTCAGGGCACAGACCTGAAAGATAAAGAGAGGATTAAACAACCAAGTACATTAGAGAAGGCAAGCCATGAAAGCAACACACATGCAGAGCATGTGCACACTGCTAGATCACATACAATCATACAGTCATTCTATGCCAGGAGTATGTCCAAGACAAGTGTCTCTAGTTGCTGTGCATCTCATCCCATGAAAATTACTACTAACTTTTGAAAGGATAAACAAATCTGCAGTACCCCATTTCCTGTCTCTGGAAAGGCTATTCACACTCTGTGGCAGATTATGTTCTTCAGACATACGTACTCATCTGACTCCCAGAGACAGACCTGTGCTAGCTGTTCTCAACAGCACCTTGTCTTGTCTGCACACCCCTTGTATTTCACCCCAAGACTTTTTCAGGTAGAGTGAGAACCTGAAATTTCCTTCCTCCTGGTATTGCCAGCACAGGACTGATCACTCAGTGTGCCTAGCTCTAACTTCAGCTTGTTTGCCTTCTTCACAGAAAGCCCGGCTTGCACGGATTCGAGTGGCCAAAACAGGCAGCTCCAATGCTTACCTTCACAGCAAGCGCAACGGCCTCCTGAACGAAGCCCTCGAGCTGACGGTGAGTGCAGAGACAGTATCTCCTTCCACAGAGTTTGAGAAGTTCCCTATTCCCACTCCTCTCCCCGGGCTCCCTCCCTTTCCCTCTCTGTTGCCACCTAATTGCTCATTATCCAGCATGGCAGCCTCACACACAGAATGGCATTATGCTACAATTACGCACTCATGTACTGTATGTGCCATGTGGAGGGATGGCTGGAATCCAGCTGCAAGACTGGACGGGAGGAAAAAAGCTTCCTTGGGCTCCTCCTTGGGCTGGGAAAGGATCTGGCCTTCCAGCAACAACCAGGTTCACAGTTCCCTTGAATCCCTCTGTGTGATGGAGCTGTTGGAGCTGTAGTGATTTATATGGCCCAGGGTCTGCCCATACTATAAATACCCACTCTCTTCCAACATATAGTTAGTTATTTTTAAGAGTCATTCTCTAATATGGACTATCTGATCATGCCCAACAGGACAGGAAAATATTCCCCAGTTCCTGTTTCAGGCAGTTTGGTGGTGGGTTTTTTTTAACAGAAAGGCCTCTGGAGGCTAATACTAGCTATTCATGAGAAGAAAAGTTTTAAGTGCGTCAGATTGCTCAGCAGAATCAGCGAAAATGAGAGGAGGTTATTACATTAAGCCTGATCAACACCAGAGCAGGTATTAGCACATTTCATGGATTTCATTTCAAATAAATCAGCCTTTCGTGCACATGGGGAGCAAAGAGCGAGATGAAGAATGCTTAATTGAGCCACCAGAGCCGCCTAGCACTTGTTCATGCATCCTTACTTGGGGCCTAATCCTTCAAATGTATACTATTTTCCCTGGCACACATCCTTGCATTTGTAAAATCAAAGCTGAAAAACCTTTTCAGCTCATGGTGAAAGCTGCTCCCTAAGACCTGAGCCCACTCCTAGCCAAGTTCAGTGTGTACAGCACACAGAGGGAAACTGTGCAGCACCATATTTTGCACGTAGGATGCTACTTGGTGCAGACCGAGAGAGGGGAATCTGGCCCTTTACAACTGGAATAGTTTTTAAACTGACTCCACAGAAGCACTTCACATGAAGCACAGATTTGGAAGGTAGGATGCCCAGATCAGTTTCAGTTCTCCCCTCCAAAACAAGATTGATCCTTCTGACTACACATCTAACGTTGTCTCCTGCTCTGCGAATGGCAGTGACACCCAGAAAATCTGTTTCTTGAACCATATGTTGCTGTTGAGTGGTTCAAGAAAAGTTTCTTTACCAAGAAGAGACTAGGAAGACCGGTCACACCTAGTCCAGAGCCTTATCCCCATAAAGGAAAGGCTCAGGACTGGGATGCCAGCTCAGCTGAGATTCTGCTATTTCATTACCCAGGAACGTGCCAAAATTTGACTACAAATTTAAAACTTCCTTTTAAGTTTTAGATTTCTAGTTTTTAAAAATGCCAGAAGAGCTTAGCAGGGACACTCAGTTTGCACTTGATCTTCCAGCCTGCAATCCCAACAAGAATCTCCTCACTTCTCCTGTCAACCAAAATTCCCTGCCAAGACGACTCATGGAAGAGCAGCTGACACACCAAAGCTTAAGTCCAAAATGCATGAGGTTGAGTGAAATATTTGGCTGTATGGGTTCATTTGCTGGCACTTGCCCAAAAATAAGTGTAGGAAGGGTCATTTTGTTGGCTACAAAGCTACTGCAGACACAGGAAGGAAAAAAAAAAACATTTCTAAAGAGGTTCTAGAGGATTTTTTTACCCATTAATAACTAAATTTAGATATATAGTAGCACCTAGAGCAGGTCTTCCCAAGCTTTTCTGGGAGCAACGTGGCTTTCTGGTGGGTTTATAGCTCTAAATTCTAATATGACTCCCCCACAGCCCAGTAAGATCCACAAATCCTACTTTGAAAAGCACTGAATATTGTGGACATTTGTATTAATACTTTGTAAGAAAATATCCCCACCCTAATGAAATTCCTTTTGAAATAGTCAAAAGCAAAGGGTATGGGGAAGGAAGAATTACCATCCACCTGTGACACATAGGAATATAATTTACTAAAACAAGAAACTTACCAAAGCTGTGCCTAGCATCTGCACGACCAAGAGGAAATGATATTTGACCACCTGAGGACTAGCCGCATACCTGAATCAAGAATAGATACAAGTCTCTCAATCCACAGGTAGTGGCATTAATTAATTACAGAACTGCAGAACATAATTTGTTGTAAAGGTATACATGACCGTTTTAACTCCACAAGGCAAGATTTTATATCCTTTCATTTTATGGCAGGAGAACAAACTATTCTTAAGAGTACAAAATGTGAATGACAGCATAGTCTAGCCAGCCAAATTTTTTAAGCTGTAAAAATATGAAGGAATGTGACTTCTGTAGTTGCTATATTAGGGACCAAAATATTATCTACATACTGTGCATATCCATCAGTCAAATTAGTATCAAACTGCTTCACTGGTCAGGTACACATCCCATTTTGATACCTTGCCCAGGACTCATGCTAACTTTAATGGACTTCACACGGCCAGGTTGCCATAGGGCTGGTTTGTTACCCAGCAGTAATTCCAACTGCAATTACTATATGGCCATGACTAGATATTATCACTTTCATCACTAGCAATCACACAGTACTGTGATCAATGTATAATTGTTTTACAAGTGCCCAGCAGATTGCCCTGCAGTCTGACACCTTGAGGGTTCACCCAAGGAAAACAACTGCCCCAGAACGTATCCTGGCTGTGGCTCTGCAGTCAAACTAATAAATTGGGAAATAAGGACTGTTCAAGATTCCGGAACATGTGCCAGAATGTCCTTTCATTAGCACCAGAATGAATACACTGACACCATCTTTCAAGGGAACAGCATGTCTTCAGCCTGTAGCGTTGTAAAGAAAAAGCAAAGGATTCATCCAAGGGCAGCAGCAGGAAGGAGTTCTGCTCCTAGCAAGAATACAGACTCTTGCTTCAGAAACATGTGGATTTGTGGCATTTTGCATTTGCCATCTAGACATGAAGTAGTCAGACCATTTTCTTCTCATTTAGAGAGATTTTTAGTGGGCTTTATGTCAGAAGTGCTCAAGGGATGGTGAGCTTCTTCCCATGGCAGCAGCCTACATATCCTCTTAACGTTAATCTCCTTGTACAGCTAGCTGAAATTCCCTTTTAGCTAAAATGCTAGAAGGTGTATATCCTAGGAACAGTAGGTTGTGAGGTCTTGTGCCTTTTCACAAGCAGAATCTGCTTAGCCATAGATAAGCATTATAGCCATTCTCATGGGAAGGGACAGTCTAACCACTGAACCAGTTCATCTCAGTTCACCAGCGTCCAATCTTGGGTGCTGAAGCACTAAGTAGAAGAGGTGAAGTGGAAGTATTTTGGATTTCAGAACTGACACTACAGTGTGTTTCAGTCTCCCTCTGAGGAACCAGCAGTTCACTGAAAGTCTTCCAAGAACAAAATGAATGGTAGCTGGCATCAAATCCTTGCAAAACTGGCATCCCAGCTCAAAAAGCAAATGATCTCTTCTCCTCCCCCCCACCAGCTTTTTCTTACAGCCAGACCCTTCTAGTGAAGACACAGATTTTGTTTGCCTGCAGTAATGTAGGTATCACTGATGCAATCTCTATAGGTACACGTTTCTCAACGGTACTATCAAAACGCCAAGCATTCCTGTGATGTTGGCACTCTCACTGTCCTGGGGCAGTAGTTCCTGCAGATCTCATTCTTAATTTGCATGCTAGGATGTTCTTGGTGGTTGCATGCTCTTTGTTTCTGAAAACACCTAGCTGACTGAAGAAAAAGTGAAAGAAGGATAAGGTACGAGTTATACTCACTGAGGCTACGCTTTATTCCTGGTCACTGCCATCCCGTGATCCATTTCCATCAGCAACAAGCCTAGCCTCGTGATGGAAGACAGAGGGAGAGACTAAGCTGTGCTGCCAAAATTTAACAATTGGCTTAGGTCTTCTGCCAGAGGTATGGAAGCTCTACCTTTGCTTTCAGATTCCATTTAGATCTCCTCTCAAGCAAATCCTCATAAAAAGATACTGTTTGCAATATGTGCTCTTTCTCTCTCCTTTTCCAGTGTTCTAGTGCAGCATCATATCTGCTTTAGGGCTTGCAAGGATCTCCATGGGAAATATTCCAACACAGACTTCAGCAGAGTCAGTAATCTCAGCAGGGTACAAACAGGACCCGCTTGATGTGTTAGCTCACCAGAAGGATTGTTAATAAGAAAAATAGAACTGATTTTTTTTTTAGGCCACTTCTAAAAATACTTCTGGGAATGCTCATCTTCCAAAACAACAGCAACAAAAAATCCATAACCTGCCTAAGATGCATTCCCATAGGAATCTATTAATTCTGTGTACAGTAAGTCAGCTTTCTTAATGTACCAGTTCAGCTATGTTTTGGCATCTGTCAGAGACAGAGTTATTCCTTCACTTAAGGATCACAGAACCATCCTGGAAATGGCATCCAGAACACACATTTGCAGTGAATCACTGGGACACATGGGTGTATTTAAAAGCAATGCTTTAAGCATAGTTGAATTTGACCCCCTTGAGAGCAACAGACAAGGTCTTGGCACTTCTGCAAAGATGTTCTGCTGTGTCTCCCACCCCACCCATTTTCTATCTTGCACAGTTAGATACTGCTGTTTCATGTCTAAGCAGAGATTCAATCCATGCACGTCAATTTTTTACTTTAAGATTTAGGCATTACAGAAGACACCAATCACCCCTTACTTACAGGGCACAGGGAAACATTTAACAACATCTAATTGCTATTTTAATGCATGTAACTGTCTTCAAAAATGCTAGTTACCAAAGACACGCACAGATTAATGTGTCATGAAATCACAGTGAATTTCGAGATCAGTAGCTTTAATAGTAAGAGAACATCCTTAACAACTCAGATCTTAAACCTGCCACCACAGAACAGAGAAAGTGAGAAAAATAATCCTGTCTCTCAAATAGCACAGAAACTCTCTAAACAACACCTATTGTTTCTTTTCCTTCCATTTTTGAGGCATACCTGATCACCACATGACTGGGTAAGTGACATGCTATATTTTGAGGAATGTAAGCATCTGATTCACTGATACAGTGTGGAAATAAAAAATACAGAGTATTGGATTTCTCCACCCCACCCCCCCAAGTTGACTAAATTGGCCTATTAATGTTTTGATGAATTCTTGATGCCAAGCTTTCTGCATGAGCTAAACATTACGCACATATTGAACTCAAGCTTCTAACCTCTTATCCATTTCTATTCCAGCTGTTTCAAGCAGATCAAGCCCCTCAGTTTAATGAAAGCACAGAGATTGGTCTGAGATCTATAGCTTATCCTAACCACTAATAACACTGCAGTCTGAGCAGTCTCTTCCCCAAACCACCACATGAACACATACCTGATGTAGAAGCTGAGAACACACCAGCAAAAGTGCTCCAGTCTTTCCAACCTACAGTCCCTAAATAAGCATACCAAAAGCAGTTCACCCCCCTCAACTCTTCCTAGGGGGGACCACTCCTTTTAATAGTTTTTTGACCTAAATACTCTCAGCTGTACCCAATCCCTTCCCAGATGGCACAGGCTGCCTGCTTGACTCTAAGCTCACCCTACTCTCTGAATTAGCTTACAAATTTGTTAGCCACATTTCAGCAGTTTCAGTACACAGGGGGAGTAGGGGAAAGCTGGTCCCCAATTATACAGGTGCTGCTGTACAATGAGTGAAGTATCTGGATCGTGAGGTCTTTGGAACAGGCTTGCCTTATTCTGTTTTTGTGCTAAGTGATACACAGGAGCGTTCCTGGTTGGTTTACAGGACTCCTTGGCACTGTGTTACTAAAACTAACGCAGTAAGCCATCCTACTGAGTGAAAGCCACAATCTGTAGGAAACTAATGAAGATGGGACCTTCCTTCTCCGATGGAATTGCTGCCACATTTCATGTGAACATAAACCCTTTGCCACTGCTGCACAATTCTTCTTCATTTGAAGTTTGCTTGACTAGGATAATTTATATATATTAACTCTTACATACATAGCATCTGCCTGTTCCTCCCCTCTCCCTGCCTTTCAACAAGGGCTTGGCCACAGGAGAGGTTACACATCTTCAGTTTGCACCGAACCCAGTCCTCAGGGCCTGCTATACACTCCGCACTGACAACCATATACAGAGGCAGGGAAAGAGCAGCCCCCTTTTAATACACTACAGGTACAAAGTGTGGAAGACAATTGGTGATGTCCATGAAGAGGAGAGACAGAGCCAGAAGTCCTGTCTCTAGAAGCAGCATTACAAAGTCCAAAACATGAAGCCTGGATTCACATTTTTTGATCTGGTGTGCAGCCGTGACTCAGGAAGGAGGCTTTGGCAATAACACATGCAAGTTCCAACAGGCCCAGTGCTGTGCAGCCCTGAAGGTCAGGCAGAGCCAGGCTTTCAGCTCAGCAAAAGCAAGACAGCTTATGTTTTGTCTCCTAACAGAGACTGAAGTTCAGGGTACATCTGTTGGCATTCAAAGGTCATGTCAAGCTTAAAAGTCTTAACATTTTTTGGAAAAATAAAACAGCATAGGTTCTTTTCTTCTTTACCTTCTGGTTCCTGAGCCTTGGCATCATACGTCAACAGTACTTCCCAGGTTTCCTCCCCAGCTACAAAATGGCTAGAAACTCACTGGTTTTTAATCAAAGCCAAGTTTACAAGCCAAATCATTAAGAAAAAAAATGAGGTATCCTCATAAGAGTCGTGAGAAAAACCTAAGGGCTGGCAACACTGAAATTGTTACCTTTATCCCTGTGAAAGCTAATGCTGGTAGTTCTGTTTGTTTTCATGGTTTTACACCTGGTTTGGGTTTTGGTTTCTTCCCTCCTTTTTTCTGGCTATTCAGGGATCAACTGAAGATGAACAGCATATGACTAAAGGCACCTCCTTAATTGAAAGCCAACATCACCACCTGCTGCACTGCCTGGAAAAAACAACCGTAAGTAGCAACACAATCCTTTTACATCTTACTAGATCCTTGTGCCTGGCCCAGGCTCCATATGGAAAAGAGGTGCATGCAGATGCTCTGAAGTGGCACTCAGACATACTCAGTAGATCTACAAATTGTGCCAGAGGGGGCTGACAATCAAGCTCCCAAGAATATTCTGTAATGGGTTAAGTGCACTTTTATTTCATTGTCTTCTTTAAAAAAAAAAATTACTGTGCAAAGGGATAAAGATGCGATTATCTGCTACTCCACAGTCATCTACACCAGTACAAACTCAACAGCAGGTTGCTCAGTCAAGTTCACTTGAACACAAGTAACTTTTCAGCATGGGGTTAGGGAGATCCTATAAACAAGGTGTACATTAAGTTTAATTTCTTCGGTGCTTCTGAAAGAGAACTAAACTGCATTTGTCTTGTGCTGTCAGTCACACATCATATATACTCATCAGATGTGCTAATTAATAATAAAGGACAGTTCTGCTGCCTCAAGAGGAGGAAGATGCTGTCAGTGATTCCAAACTACAACCTGGTCACCAGTGCTGACAGTCTGGAAAAAAATAACCTTTAGCCCTTTATACGGCACAGAGCAGATGAACTCTCTTAATAGGTTTAAAGGCTGCACCTACCTTTTCTCACTACAGTTCTAGTTACAAAGGCAGGTAATTTATCTCAAAACCAGTCAAGCAGTTTCTATACCATGACTTTTCTGTTCACATTATGCAAGGTATTGGGAGTAAGAATTTTATTTTTCATTGTTAAGTGATTCTGTATGTAGAAGACTCTTGGAAGATTTCAGATATTTGATACATATGTTTTACTTCCAGGTTTATATAAAAGGTTCTGCAGTAAAGGAACACATTATCTATACCATGATTCATTCTAGAAAGAATGAAGAGAGGTTAACACTTGAAATATTCATGCCTTTTTCTATCTGCATCCATCATCAAATGTACTTTTGATTTCTGACTTGCAATAGCTTTCTTTTAGATAAATCACCTTCAGTTCCATAGTTTGGCTTATGCTGGAATAACACCACTTAGGCTTCAGCGATACACGGGAAGAAGATGACTGGTTAATTACAGTGACCTGCTGAGTACAGCTGGTTTATCCAAATGAGCTATAAAGGTCACCATTCCAAGGACAGTGAACTGATTCTTCCTGTATCAATGACTATTGAATTTATTTTATAAGACTCATCTTGCCTTTACTTCTAGCAATTTTGGATGTTACATAACAAGCAGATATTTCACAATCTGACTCTTCAGTTTAGAACCTAAAACCTTCACTACTATGACCCATATTTCACAAGAATACTTTCATTTGAAAACTTTAACAAATTGGCTGAAGCAAACAAAAGCTGACAACCCTGTCTCCAGGGCCTGCCCTTGTCAGGCCCTGACTTTGTCACGGCTTATAGAAATTCTGACCTCTGCACAGGGTGGGTGGGCATCTCTGGGAGCTGCATGAGTCTCTCCATTTCTAATGAGCTGGTTAGGGTGCTGGAAGTAACATGGCCAAAGCATATCCTAATTTGTGGGTGTATTAGCTTATCACACTAACAAAGCTAGATTGCCTCCAGCACATAAGCCTACTCAGACAGTGAGTCTCAGTGGTTGAAAATGTTCCAAATGTTGCTTTTTTCAGAAAAAAAATGGCAACAACAGTGATACTTTGAATTTTGATTAAAACCTAGAGGGATAATGTGCACAATATTTAATGTGTTTTCCCCCACATTTTTCAGCCAGTTATTACCATGATGTTGCATCAAGTCACATAGCAAGTTTGGATTCTGGTCTGAAATTATCAATCAAAATAGTTCATTCAGCTTGTGTGGAAATTCTGTAGTTACATAATTGATTAAAATACTATGCAACAGTTCTCCTCCGAAAAATTTAAATCATAGTCAAAGAATTTTTAAAGACTGAAGAGTCATTTTGTGACCAAGTTGCAGGAATGGAATGAGGAATGTACCATGGTTGCAAACTTGTTTCAATGGGCAATTCACCTTTCCTTAAACTAGGCAGAAGGATTGTAAAAGTACATGATTTATTGTCATGGTATCTGTGGTTGTCGCTAGCATACAGCCTTACAATTGAATGGCTGTGAATGGCTCACAAATCTGGTGTGTCAGATGACAAAATGACCCTAAAGTACTTCTAGCTGCCATAACAGAGGTTACTTTGTCATATTAACACAACAGATGGAGTTTGTTCAAACAAAAGGAGTTTTTTTCCACTCATTCCAACTCCCAGATTTGAGTACGGACATTCACATGCCATATTTTCTCCAATCCAGTCCTTCAACCCAAGCCTTTCTTCTGTGTTTTCACAGAGTATGATCAAAACCCATATCCATTGGTGACCTAATGGCAATACAATTCCAATTCATTACTTGTGAATCAGCAGCTGAAACTTTGTTTTCCTTCGCCTTCAGCACTCAAAAGATCAAACTAATAAAGTTGTTACCAGTTTTGTTCCATCTCCAAGAACATAACATTAAAATGCTTAAGTGTGAGAAGGAAGGAACAAAGGGGTCTGATTCAGGCAAGGTTTGGTAAAGAGAAGGTCCTGTTGCCCATTCAAACTTGAGTGAGCAAGCTGGAATGCTGACGCAATAGATGCAATGCTGGGACTAAACTTCTGAATGCCGGAATGGACAATCAATTGTCTTTTTATCTTTTGTTGGCATGTTGTCCCGTAGGGATTGTCCTATCTTGTGGATGATCCCCTGTTATCTGTACGAACTTCCACCATCAAGGTATTTCCTTTTTAATTCAATCTGTTTTCTCTATGGTCTCTGTGACATGTCTGGAAAGTGTTTGCTTCCTTTCTCGTTCCTGGTCTTGTCCTTGGGAGTTTGTGCACGTGGCTCTTTTTGGCTATCCAGTGCTCTTGTTTCCTGTGAGAGTTGTTAGTTGTTTCAATGAAAACCGATGGCTGCCTTCACCATGGTTGCTTTTGTTTCCCATCTTTTCTGATGCTGACAGGGACTGGATAAAGTATGTTTACTAGAACAACTTGGGTGTTCATATACACACATAAGAGTTCTTTCTTTCAGGATTTCTTGTTCCTTAGCACAAAAACTCTTTACCAATTCAGCTTTCTGAACTTCCTTCCCCTATACACTTCCCACTCTCACCTGCCATGTTTATTTCCACTCAGCTAATAGCACGCAATGAATTGCAGGTATGCTTTGAACCCAACAGCCAATATAAGCAACATCCTGCAATTACGCTGTATGTCAAGATGGTTATCCAAATACAATGCAATCCTGTCCCCAGGCACACAGAAAAAGGAGCATGAATCTCCTCTTGGGTTTCATAACCATGTAGCATTGCAGACTTTTTGAAGCCACTTCTGGAATCCAGACACAAAAATGAAAGGAAATTCCAACACAATATATTAACCATCTCAGACTACGTATGCAAGGCAGCATTGATAGACTATCATGCTTTTGTCACTGCAACAGCTTCTCTTATTCCCCTACTGATGCAGGAAAGTAAAATCTTCTCTTGGTTGCAGTGAGTGAAAAGGCAGTGTCATTTCTTTTTAATATCTGCCTACTGCAAATATTTTCAGGCACAGAGGCAGAGAGCATCTTACACAGACAAGGGGCTGGCACATGCCACCAACCTAGCAAAAGGTGCCATTGAAAACAAACTGCTGTTGGGCCAAAGCTGTTGGTGTCACCAGAGAGTAATGGCACTGTTTTTTCCCCTCTCAGAACCATGAGTTCATAGATGAGCAACTGTTCGAGCAGAACTGCATGGAGAGCTCAATGCAAAACTATCCATCTTCTCGGAGCCCCTCCTTGTCAAGTCACCATGGCCTGACCACCTCCTGCTGTTCTCGCCGTAACAAGAAGACCACCCACCTTCCCAACTCCAGTGTGCCAGCCACTCGCCTCCGGAGTATGCAGGAGCTCAGCACCATCCACATCCAGTGCAGTGAGCAGCCCTCACTTACAACAAGGTACAGTAAGTAGGCTCTTGCTGCTAACTACTGCATGCAAACCTCTGAAATGCATTACCCAACTAGACGTTCTTGCAGGCATATTCTCCAGCCAGGGAGAGTGGTCTAGTGCTGGAAGCATCTTTTTGTTTCCCTCCTTCTCACGACAACCCAAGGAAAGTGGCTCCTAGCTGGGGAAGAACCAGGTCAAAGCTAGACACTAGTGCAACTCTTCTCTGGCCAGACTGGACATAGAAGAATGAATTCCAGCTGACACCTGCCTATAAAGTGCTAATCACACATGCAGGAGCCAGCAGTTCCCAGCTGTGAGCCACTCACCAAAAGCTGGCACAGGACCATTTCACAGCCCACCTCCCAGATAGCCCAGTACTTCCAAGCCTTTATTAGGAGCAGGCAAAGACAACCGGCTAATCACTGTCTGTCAGCAAAAGCTGTTAAGAGAGCTGTACACACTGACACAGTCCACCAGGGACACTCACTTCACTAATTTTCATTCTCCCAAAGTCTAAAGCACAACTGTAAGCATCAAGCAGCACTGGAAAACAAATAAGGAGGAATTTTGCAATGGTATTTTAGTAGCTCTCACCTAAAAAAGCCATTAGTGACACAGGTGAAGAAGCATCTCTTAACAGAAAATTTCAAAATTTTCATATTATACATAACTGGCTGAAAAAAATAATTTCTTTACCACATCTTTCTTGCAAATATTAAATTACTTTCTAAATCCCCCTCAGCCCATTAAGCTTCTTGTGCACCGGGCTGTTTCTGAACTTGCCGTTCTTCTCCCCACTCCTGTCAAAGGGATCTAGAAACTGAAACAAAGCTGCCTTTAGGGCAGCAAGTGATTACTTTGTGCCACAGTGAAGTCAGAAGGGCATTTCAGAGAATGAATTATGAATGACTAAGCACAAAACAAGTCTCTAGCTATTGCAGTTTCAAGATGACAATAGTTTAAACCAGCACCTGAAACAGTAATTCAGGGGAATGTCAACTATTTCGCCTATTTCAGCAGGTGCTAAATCAGATGCCAGTGATATTTTAAATGTCAACACTGTTCATTATTTCACTTGCTTACCAAACTGTGTAAGAATGGAGAGAGAAAAAAAGCTTTTAAGTTGTTTTTCATGTGGAATGCAAGTAACTGGGTGTACTGGTTACCACTGGCAGAACCACCCAGTCCCTAAGACTGCCCCACTCTCAGCTTGTGACTGAGGCAACCAGGGAGCAGAATGGGTTCTGCTGTGTTCTTGGGATGCTTGAGCGATCAAGAAACATCCTCTTGGTGAGTCACTCTGAGATAACAACAGCAATAGCTTTCCAACTGGGAGCTTTACATTTTAAAAAGGACAGGCCTTGTGTTTAAAATGAACATGTTGGGCTGATAATAGCAGACTCCTGTAGCTGTGCAGATGCACAGAAATCAACCTATCATTTTCCCTCTGTAATTAATTATAGGATGCAATTGATGCAGATCTAATAAGAATGCTCCCAGCTGCCAGATCCTTGAAACTACTGCAGAGAGATGAAAGAATAGAAAAGATCAAGGGACAGTGAATTTGAAAGAGGCATTTGAAATGCAAGGAAGACAACATCTCTTTCTCAGAAAGAACTACCTGTGCTCTGAAAAGATCCAGTACACAGGACAGTATATTTAGATGTCCTCTTAATTAAACTAGAATTATGCAAGAATGAAATGGAAACATAGAATGACTTGCCCTGTGAAAAGCTGTGTCCTAACCAGGGGGAATATTAAAAAAGCTTATTGTAATCTGGGTAGAAGTAAGTGATGCTTTGCAGGAACTGGGGGGAACATTTAAGTGGAGTCTTCCGAATATTTTGGTGCCCTTAGTTCGGAGGAATAAGATAGTGATTAAGAACAACTACCATTCCCATCCTTTCTATTGTCTAGTTTAAAAAAAAAAGCCAAACACTAAATTTGTTTTCTAGTCGTTCCAGTCTCAACATGAAATCAGATGATGGGCTGAGACCGAACTGCAAAACTGCCCAGATAACGACAGCCATCATCAGCATCCCCACGCCGCCGGCACTCACGCCAGAAGGTGAGAGTAGGCCTCCGCCCAGCAGCCCCGGCCACTCCACGAACATTTCCACCACCACCACAAGCAACATAGTCAAGGTCTCTGCCTTGTAAGACGTCTCATGCACAGAAGGAGGCTGGAAGACCAGTGCCCCTCTCCCTCCACACCTCCATGTTCCTTTCTTGCTGCAAATTGTGCCTGGATGGACCAACCTGACATTTCGCCATCGAATTAGCAATGGAGACCTAACGAGGCAGCTTTCTTCAGACTTGCATTCATGCTGTGGACTGAGGAAGGATTAGGAAAGGGAGGAAGAGGCTGGTTAAAGGAAAAACCTGCATGGAGAGCGTGTTGTGCCATGGTACAGGGCAAAAATCACCTGCAGAGGGTCGAGGGAAATAATCATCATGGCAACAAGAGAGTCAATAAAGAAAACAGAAATATAACACTGTGTATCGCAGCACCTTTTTAAAGGTTTTTAATGGATAATATTTATTCATGAGGAAATGACTGAAAAGGTGAAAAACAATGGATTTTGTGAATTTTTTTTCTTCATGGAGCAGAACCTTTAAACCAACCAAAATTTCACATTTTTTTTCTTTTATAGGAAAAGATTTAGACAAAGAAGCCACCTGTCACAGAAATCTATTTCCATTCCTCTGTGTGTGTGCGTGCGAGTGTACCAGCAGAACCACATCAGAGCCACACTGAATTACAAAGAGCAGAGCATGTGTCCATGATTGGGTGCACAGTAGAAAAATTCAAGCTTGTGTCAGCACATATATGTGCACACGCACACACACACACATAACTATTTCACCCTGGATGGCATTCTTTATTTAGACAATTTTGTATCCGCCTTTTAAGTCAATACAGTGCAATTGCAAACAGTGTGTTTGTCTGCTAATTATTGTCTGTGAAAACATATTTGTGGAAAAAAAAAAAAGACAGGCTTTAGTAGAGTTTTAGTCCCACATGGGTATCTGCTTTCTATTTTTGTTATCACTTACTTGTAAGAGTGTGACTAGACTACCAGTTCTGTATTTTTAAAAAGGAAAAAAAAAAGTAGGATTCTTTTTTAATACTGTACACACAAATGGCAAAGAATGAGAAAGCACTGAACTCAACTGCATCAAGCATTCATAAGTCTAACAGGTTTCTTGTAATGTATGACCATGCTTTTTAATTTTTGTTTTCTATATATAAATTTCTTTGCTAGCACTGGACATACAACCCATTGTAAATAGTAGCCAAATAATGTCTGGATCTATACTTGATAATAATTAACCCGAGAGCCAAATATCTTGCATGGACAGGGAGGTATTTGGCTTTTTCACAGTCTTAGGGCTCCAGTTGTCTCATCAACGGCTTCTGGGTGGCATTGATTTTGGGGGCAGACTAGGTTAGCAATTTTAGTTCTCCAGTCCCACCACAGGATCTACAGCATGCATCCACTTGAGAAAGGGGAGCAGTACTGGAGTTTGGAAAGTGTGGTACAGACAGCATTTTCTTTTTGCAGTTCTACACTTAGTTTGGGAAATTGCGGACTTCTAGTCAACCAAAAACAGAAGTAGCACTGTGTGGTACTGCCAAGAAGCTAATACTTTAACTAAGCTGTGGTCAGTCCTAGCACCTCTTTCTGAGAGCCTTCTAGGAATAATTTATTGTAAGGAAATACATGGTCCTGAAACGTCACTGATTTTCCCCCCCTTAAGAAGAGTAACTTTTTTCTTCCATTCTGCCTTTCTCAAGTCCCCTTTTCGTAACAGGTGTGATCCACAAAGGGCAGAGTAAGGAACATCATCCACCTTTTCATTTGTCATACACTGTTTGGCTAATTATTGTGGTCACACACAAATGCCTCTTCAAGGCCCTATACCCACGAATGGCGATGCACCTAGCCCCCAACAGCTTGTAGATAATAAGGAAACATTTTAAGTGTCCTGTTTCTGAACAGTGATTTTACCAACATTAGAGTTAAAAGAACTACTAAAAGCATGTTTGAGGCTGCTTCAGCAAAGGGATGACTTTTTTTTAACATCTGTCATAATCTATCCTGATGTAATATTTATATACACATATACACGCATACACATATAAATAAATACAGACACATACATGTATAGATAGATAAATAGACCTACATGCTGACTTAAACATGTGAGCTAGCAATCTGCTTTGTTAGCACTCCTAACCTATTAGTCTATAGAGTGGACTCAGATGGCTGATGCATTAACTCAATACCCTCCTTAGAAACCTACAACATTCTAGGAATATTAGGGCTATGGCTAAGCCTTCAGTAGCTGCACCAGCTTATAGTCATTTATTCCAGTGCTGTAATACGTTACCCAAAACTATGTTTAGTCCTGTTTTAAATGATTAAAATGCTCTGCCTTTGCTGCTTCCTGTAGGAGGTTATACTGCAGTTAATCTTACCATTACTGAGTTTTTCTTGATGTTTTAATTCAATCTTTCCTTTGCTTTAATTTCATTATTTGTCATCATCTGCGCCCCATCTGAACACCCTCACCCTTGTAGATCAGAGGCCTTGCTCTCCACCACTTACCACCTTGCAATCTCATTTACACTGGCACAGAATGAGGGTTAAATGCTACCATGCTGACAGGGTACAGTGTTCCTTCCAACGCGCAGGAGTAAATGATTACAAAGAGTCAGGGACTCAACATGGATTCTCGGTGCTGCCTTTCTTATTCCTGATTTACTGTGGAGTGGTAAACAAGCCACTTCATCTCTCTGCACCCATTTCTTTATCTGTAAATAGCAATCACGGCAGCCCTTGTCTAAAGCACTACTGGTGCATTTAATTGCTATCAATCAAAATGCTTTTTGAAAAAAAAAAAAAAGAAAAAAAATCAACATTTTTAAGGGGGCAGGGGGAGGGGGGGGCGGTGAAAAGTAAGGAGGAAAGCCAGTCCTTGGGGTTTCTGGCTGGCTGCTTGGGCTCAGATTGTCAAGGCAGCCATGGCCTTTGTTCTCTTCCACAGAAGAGGAATCACTGTTATCCTTGCTCAAAAATACACGGCTTGCCTCTTCTACCATTAACTTAGCAGGTGCTGCCCCATGCAGTCAGTATCTCAGCACAGACTTTCAGAGGATAAAGACAGACAAAATTAAGGAAGTCTGAGCCTAGAAGAACAGGGCTAAAAATATTTTTAATGGAGGCATTAGCTCCCTTTATACACTGATTTGAAGTAGACTGAGTAACGCTTCCGAAAGCACTTGAAAATATGCTAGTACAAAACCTCCCTGGATGGCCCAACACAGCTACATCCTCATTATGAGAGCACTGTGCATTCATTGAAACAGCAAAGACAAGAATCTATCGCCATCGTATCAGTGGTTGGTAGGGCATAACATAGCATCCTTCAAATGAAACGCAGGGAGGAAGGGAAAGCATTTGCACAGAAGAGCATGGGAATTGCACTACAGCCACTTATTTCTACAAGAAAGGGAGGCATTTAGCTTTATGAAACTGCAAGGCTCTTTATAATCTTTAAATAGCAACTTATAAACCATTGCTGAGATAAGGCCAAGTCACTCCTGAAAATTCCTAGGCCAGAACTTTAACTGAAGGATTTGGACCATTCTCTCCAGCGGTCCCCAGTACTGCCCTGTCTTACCAGCAACCCTCTCCCTTTCCCCAGGGCCATACACATACATTGATACGGATACAAAAACCAGCACATACCCCTGCAATCCTGGTCATTCCTGATGCATATGGAAGGGGGCTTCTTCAGGCATGGGCTACCTCCGGGAGAAGCATCCAGAAGCATAGGTAGGTTCTAGTCCTGATACCTTTCTGAAAGGCAGGTGGTACAAAACAACCTAATTAGCAAGACTGCTCAACAAAACATCAATACTATGTTGGCAGTTCATTTTCAAAGCCTTCCCCCTCCCCCTAATTCCTCACAACTTTTTATAGTTTTAGAAAAGTTCATTAAAAAAAGATAAAAATGGATTGTTTGTACAAAAAGCAAGTGGAAGGGGATTATTTTTTCAGTCTTTCATAAAGCAATATTAAAAATATCAAAGAAGCAACACCTTTTCCCAAGTATTTTGTTTCCTTTCCAAAGCCTTTTCTGAGGGAAAAATACTTTCACAGGTTTTCAGCATATTCTATTAATAGATTTACTCTCTTCTCACCTGGCATTGGGCTGCTAATAGAAGGAATCACACCCAATTGGCAAAGAATGATGAGAAATACCTTTCACATCTAGGCTTTGACTTCCATCTACTCTTTCTAAAATCCACTTTTTACTTTCATTTTCCTTAAAAATCTTAAGGACAGCCATAAAGAAGAGGCCACAGATAACACGTCTTGGTACATAAAAATTAAAGAATTAAAAAATTTAATCCACCTTCTGCTAGCACAAGATCCTTTGCTGCAATATATTGCATTGCTTTCTCTAGATTAGATTTAAAATTCTCCAAGGAAAGGACCCCCACTGCTTCCCTGGAGAGCTTATTCCAGGCTAATAGATCTCAATGTCAAGGATTTTTCCCCTGCTGTTCAGCCATAACTCTTTCCTTATTTTTTCCTCTCTTGCTGCCATTATACTCTCTCGCACCATGTTAAATTATTCTCCCTTCCACATGGTAAGTTAGCTGCCTACAAGCATAAGAGGAATATAAAATTTTCTACAGCAAATTCTTATCCCAGAGACTACTTTTGTCTGTCAAATAATTATCATTGTTAAAAGCGAACTGAGGAAAAGGTAAACTAAGTTACACACATGGCTTTAGCGTGGAATAAAGTTAGTAGGTAATTCAAAATATATCCTTCTTTACAGTTGGCCAGAAATACTAAATTTGAATCAATGCTACTCGTTAAACCTGAAACAGTTGATAATATACTTGTACTGCAAACCAGCATTTATCGTTCTAGTTTAGACAGCTTAAGGTATACACATGAAAATCAGATTAATACCAGCTAAAGAAAGCAATGTTTCTTCAAATATTTTGCTTTTTTAAGTAAAGAGATTGTAAACATGTTGTAACTTACATGTATTATAAAGCAAATTCAGTAAATTACAAATCACATTTAATTTATGGGTTGCAACATCCCTTGGATCCTGTAATATTTTTTTTTATGTCAGACTATGGCAGAGTTACAAAGTCAGCATTCATGGATGGCTTGCAAATATCAGCAAATTTGAACTGAAGACTTTATTCTGCTTTTGAAGTTTGGTGAATAATATAACTTTTCCACATAATTTACCAATCAAATATAACTTGATTTTTTTTAAAATAACTTATTTTTCTCCAACACTTTAAGCAACCACACTAGATACATGACTTTAGAGCTCAAGTTTTTAGGCTTCACACTTAATGCTGCCATAAACACTCTTCATAATGGTTTTATTTTTCTAAAACTTCAAGAGCAAACAGAAGGTAGTATGTGTACATCAATTAGAGCTAGGAGACTTGCATCAGGAACCTATGTTCTACTCCTGATTGTCTTGATGAATCACTAAGTGACCTCGAAAAAGTCATTTCACCTCTCTTTGCCAATTATACAAGCTGTATAGAATTTAATACCTCCTCTTTCAATAAGTGAAGCTCAATTCATGAACACCTACAAAATACATACAGAATTCTGGAGAAAGCGTTACCAGAAGAGTACTGCTACTTACGTTCAGAATGCAAAAACTGTGCCAGAAAAACTTCAGGTGGAACAGTCAAAAGACCAGGTGACAAAGAGCTTGTGAAAATTCCTTCTCAAGTTTTGTTCTCAGTCAACAGTCTGTTACTTTGTGTGTATATGTGTGCACGTGTTTCTTTTGAGTTAAACTAGTGCTAGTCACGGAAGTCACACAGCTGTCTGGGTGAGAAGTTAACAACCATATCGAATGCTCTTCTCCATGCTGTTGCAACTATAACTAGGAGCTTCCACGGGCTCCTCGGACCAATGAAGTATCTTACAAAATGCGTGTGATGGTATATTTTTGATAAATCAGTAAGGCATTCCAATGCAATGGTGTTTTCTTTAGAAGTTTTATGTTATGAAAGGCTCTCAACCTTATTATTTTCTATTTTCGTACTATAAATGGGCTTTGCTTACAAACATCAGAGGACAGATACAAAATGTACTGTATACAACTGCAGGTAGCTTCGAGAACAACTTTCTAGAAGAACCAAGTTTCCTGTTGTCTTCTTTTGGAATTGTAGTGCATATGTTGAAACTTGTATATCATTTACAGTATTGAGTCTTGTGCCACTGCTGTACCTGATGTATCCAATCTGGATTAAACAGAGTATGTGCCACAAATACCAAGATGATGCTGTAGATTTCTTTTAAAAAAATTCTGGGAGGTTCTTTTGGAGAACTTTGGGTGTTGGCCTAAGCCACGCGAGTCGCATTTAAATACTAGTAACTCTTACTTAAGCAACCATTAATGAAAACAGCAAGATGTCCGAGATGTTATAGGAGAGCAATAATGCAGATACCTAAGTGCGTCTCCTACAGTATCCTCCTTCTGAACTTTAAGAGTTGCAACAAAATTAATCTTGGAAACAAAATCATATCATCTTGGCTTTTTCAAACTATGCAGACAAAATCTAGGCAAATCCCCTCCCTGGGGTAATTTGTGACACAAAGGGAGTAAGGCAGGGAAAAAAAGTACAGAAAGAAAAATACTCCTCCTAATGAGATATTTATTATATTTAAAAGAGCACATCTTAAGCATTTCTTTTAAAAGGCAATTTCTTCTTGGCAATTCCATTTAGGCCAAAGACTCGCATTCTATATTGCAGATAGGGTCAGCTTGTTTCAACCACAAAGCAAGTAGAGCTGATCTCATCTTAACCATATCAGAAAGTGTCAGTTGGAGGCATTATTTAAAATTTTCAAAATTCTTTAAGCAGAAATTAAAATTACTTAAGCAACCTCTTAACACCCACCGAGTTAGGGCTGAAGAGAACAGCTTACAGACCACTTCTCTCTCATGCAGGGGAGGCTGACACCCACTAGGGGCCACCATTGCCCCAGCTGCAGAAAATTCACAAATCAACCCAAGGCACAACATCCTTGCCAATCTTGTGCTGTATTTCTATGCCACTTAAAGACCTAAATCAATCTTACAATTCTCCTGCACAGTGAAGAGAGTCTGAATTGCGTGGTATAAAGTTTAGACCCACCACTGCACAAAAAGGTCAGAAGTGCTGCTAGGGACACCACAGGATTTGCACATGGAATTTTGCAAGAACGTTAGTAACGCTCAGGCAGCAAGTGATTCACGCAATTTGAGTGAAAACATACTGAATTTCTCAAAATGAAAATTGCTGAAGGTGAGCAATCAAGTAACCTTGAAGGCATCCATTTCACCAAATTAAAGAAACAGCTCCCCTTGGAAGTACAGTTCATAGTAGGTAAGAAGCAGTGCTTTTACTGAAGAAATTCCAGCCTTACTCTGCCCCAGAAAAAAAAAAAAAAAAAGAAAAAAACAACAGACTATCTGCTCTGGTGAATTTTGAGAAATCAAAGAAACTAGCTGAAGAAAACTGTCCCTATGATTCCAAACATACTAAAGCTAGAGGATGAAATTTCAAAATTAGCATGGAGTCAACCTAGGGTCAATACCCCAAGCCAGACAGTACTCTCATCTTTCCCTGCTTCAGGACAGCTACATATAAAGCAGTGCAACCCAAACAGGAAATACCAATTAATTTTAGTACTAATAGGTAATTTCATTTCTAATTAAAGCTTTCCTGTAAGTGTGGCAAGTCTGATATTGCTGCACCCAGAGGGACAGACCAATTATGATTGCTGCACATTTTCTACATAATTAAACCATCCTCTACTGAACAGCTCGCCATGCACCTAGCTATAGAAGTGTTATTTATACAATGTTAATTAACTGGATTTAAAATAGCAATACAGGCATAGAGATGCAGGTTTCAGTCTGCCACTTAACTGGTATATAATCAGTGCCTGGTGTTTAATAAGAGAATTACAGAAAATGGAATGATCTCTAACTATAAACAGACTATGTAGTCTTATGGTGAATTCATCTTCACCCAAAAGTCATGTGGAAGACGTAAGTCAAGCAAATAAAACTGGGGTTGGTTTGTGTTTCCTCCTTACTGAGATTTCTGATGTGTAAGAAGCTGCCTTTTATCCTCCTTTGTTTACTTTGGATTGTAAAGATTGCAAGTGAACATCCAGCTGTCTTTCATTTCCTTTTATTAACAAATTGTTGTAACACCATCACTGGAATGCATGTAAAACATTTACCTAGACACAGCTCACTTATAAAAAAGACAATGTTTTTCTTCAAACATAAACATCTGTTTATGTTAGTCAATGTACTTGTAGACCAGCAGTTATGTTTTCACAGATAATGTCCATTCAATGCGCCAACCAGCCCATCCCTAACAGCAGTGTCATTACATCAATCACCACTTTTCAGCAGTTCCTGAAGATAGACTGAGTTGACATGATAGGCATTCATCCAATTAAATTGTCTGTAACTTTTCCCATAGTGAGGCACAGCAGCATAGTAGTTTTGCCATGCTTGGTAATAAGATTTCCAGTAGTTTCTGTAACTTGAAGCCTCATATGGAACACCATCATCCCAAGAGCTGCAGGAGCAGTCATCCTCAGTTTTTTTCGTGGAAGGACTAGGGAATTGATGGTAGTGGCTTTTCTTTTGTTTAGCATTTTGTTTCACAACTTTCTTTTTCACTTGATTTTGCTTTGGGACTTGTGATAGTTCCTGAGGCTTCTCTGGTGTAGGACAGAAGCCTGCATGACCCTGACTCATTGTGGGAACAGCATTCTTCTCCTGCGCCTCTGAAAATGCTTCAAAGCACGAGTTATTTTCCCTACTATTGGAGGAAGCCCTGGAACTGTACGAACCATCACTGTCACCACACACAATGCCATTTGCTACTGTCTCTGTGTTATGTTCCACCTCTTTCCACTCTACACCACCATTTCTGGGGAGCTCACATTGTTCTCCTGGGCCTGAGAAGCTTCGTAAAATTTCAACTTCTCTCTCCAACCCTTCTTTAATGAAATACTCATAGTCTTCAACAAATTCTGAGAAGCTCCAAGGATTGTTTGGTTGGTTTTTGAAAGAAGACAAGCATGGAATTCTGGGAAGATTTTTTTTTAAGGCCTCCTCATCTGGAGCCTGAGTGTTATGCTGTCCATCCGTTCTGGAGACAGTTTTGACTTGATTCCTCTGTTCTGTGCGGCAACTGGAAGTTTGGGGGTTTCTACCACCTTTTTCTGTGTTTGCAGAATTTGTGCTCTTTTTTATCTGCTTTTGCTTCAGAGCCTTTTTTGGCCTTTCTACAGAAGAATTATCACCTGGAAGATTAGAAAGAGGCTGAGATACCTCTGAAAAACTATTTTGGACAGGCTGCAGTACTGGTTCCTTTGGTCTAAGACACACAGTGTTAGAATTCACTGAAGCACCTGTATGTACAACAGGTTTGACTTCTACCTCCCCATCTTCAAACTGATCCATCATTCCAGGAGGTATAGGCTCTGCACAAAAGGGAAACAAGCAGGCACTCAATTAAGTGCATCCTTCCCTCTAGAACTCACATGAGTACTGAAGTAAAGATTTGCAAAATCGCAGATAAGATGTTAAGACATATTAAGTTAGGGCTACAAACTGACCCCTTCCATTCTTGAAAGAGCTCAAATAGCCAGAACATTTTCTTCACAGAAGGCATCAGAAAGTTGATCAAGACAAAGAGCACTGCATTACTTGTCATGTATTTTTCATATCCTACTTAAGCAGATAAAATTAGAACTTAAGCAAGGCGGCAAATGCTACGGTTCTAGCAGAACAATTTCTGGCAAAGCAAGGGTAGCAAATCTTCTGTTTCAATTATTCCTTCCTTCTCCTACTGTACCTTACAGCCTGAGAAAGGCTTAATACTAGATTTCTGGAAATCCAAGTAGTTATGTAGTTGCTTAAGCAACAGCTGGATGCAGAGTTCCTCTCCCCATCCACAGGCATGCATTAAGTTCATTTTCTATTGCTTCACACAACTGCAGCAGTTACAAGTAGTCATTAGCACAGAGTATGAAAAACCTGTACCAAAATTAAGGCAACTTCAGCAGAGAAGATACATGTCAGTTCCCTGTGGACTTGTTTGAAGCTTTGACTAATAGAAAACAACCAATGAAAAAACAGTTGCATTCATAGGACAGAGCATACCTGGTAGAGGAAAAAGCTGAAGATTACACTTCTGAGCAATCTTCATCATCATGTTTTCCTCCTCTCCACGGCAGCAGTATGTCACAGATAAACCTAAAGTTCCTGTGATACACAACAGAAAGTGTAATTACCTAACCAAAGCTAGTGCAACTCAAGAAATCTGCATGACTGTTTTTACCAAAGCGCCCAGCTCTGCCAATACGATGCATGTACGTTTCCCAGTCAACAGGTACATCCAGGTTGATAACCAGATTCACTTTTTCGGCATCAATTCCACGAGATGTCTTGAGAAAATGAGAAGGAAAGGAGGAAATAGATAACTGAACATGCTAAACAGATCTTTAAATAAATACAACACATTTGGGAGTAATTGCTCACATAGTAACTTTAAGTTGTTGCAATACACCGTAAAGCACCTACAATTTTCCAGCCACTTTACAGTATTACATGTAGAATAGGCATATTGCATTGGGACCATGGAAACTAGGGATCATTTTTCTTATGCCTTCTATGTATCAAATACATGCAGGCATGTTTTTTTCCTCCAGAATCAAAAAAAATCCAACCCAACAGCATGCAGTAATCTTTTCATGTCAGGACCTCAAATGATCAACTGAAAAGAAAAATACATCACCATGAAAAAGCTGAGAGTGCCTCAAACATAACCACTGCTCTATTTAGTTGTTTGCAATGTTACTATTGTGAGCATACTGTACTAGAGAAACAAACTATTCCTTCCCATAGCTCCTATCCAAAGGAAACAACTCTACTCCTCTGAAATACTATAACCTTCTGCAAAGCAACAGATAAATTAAAAACTATTTTTGAACTAAATGAGGAATACGACACAATTCTAAGTTTCACAGTGAAAATAAGTCACACGCAGCATTCAAATCACATGCTTTATCAGTACACTTATGCTCTATTCAATTCCAAGTCAAATCTAATTCTCCAAAGTAACTTTATGTGCAATACTCATGTATGCTATAAAATACTAACTCACCAAGTCTGTGGAAATCAGAACTCTACAGTGAAATTGCTTTAATTTAGCCATAGCATCAAGTCGTTGATTTTGATTCATGCTGCCTAGAAAGACAAAAATCAGAAACAGATTACATTCTTCAGTTTTATCCCCTCAAATTCTGGAAAACACTGCTTTGTAAAACTGTAGATGAGATCAGAGATGAGCCAAGAGAAACTTCCTCAAACATCAGTTCCAAATGAGTAAACAAGGAACAAACAAAACAAACATGAAAATAAGGAAATTAATTACAAAAATAATTCTTTTGTTGTTTTTAAAGAGAAGCCAATTATGTAGATACTTAACCTCGTGAACAACGCTGACTTTAGACAAAATTTAAACACATAAACCATGGAAAACACTGTTGAAGTAAAAATTCAAAGGAAGATTTCTAATAAATATTAGGTACAAGCTATCAGCTTTTTACAGAGCAGCTAGAAATAAACAAGATTTAAATTCACCATCTGCATTCCAAACAAACACTGCTTCAACCTGCAAATGTCAGTTAGATTTCTCTTTAGAGATAAACCAATGCACTCATCTGGATTTTCGTAAAAACAACTCTCAAACGAATCTGAAAACAGGAAAGTTAATCAATATAAAAATTAATTAATATGTAACTCTTAAAGACATAGGAAGATCCAAAAGCTATTCTTAGTTATTCCATCAGAGGCCACACAAACCGAGATTTAAGATCAATTTTCCTACTTTAGGTCACATTTACGCACAAATTCAACAGAATCAGAAAGTTTTGAATGGACTTACCCGAAATGCATTCAGCAGGAAAGCCTCTGGATGTTAGTATTTCAGCTAGATGTTGAGCCCTGACAAAATATACACAATGAAAATTGTAAATATAACCACAGACCTAACAACCCTGTTCATTTCTTAACAACAGGCTACTCTTTACAGCCAAGGACTACATTCCAAATTGTCACTTTCATCTTTATGTCTAAAACAGTCACCTCACAGATCGAAATCTATCAGCCCTGACTGTACTCTAAACAATGTATGAGGTACCTTCATGCTAAACCATTCCTTTATTTTCAGTATTTCATACTGCATTCCTCTGGCTGTATTTCTGATCTGAAACTTGCATGCTGCTTTAAGACCTTTATAGAAGGTCTACGCAAGTTTATCCATGAATTGACATTACAGCCACTGCTTTCAAACAATCTTTTTACAGGTATTTCTTCAAATTTATTACCTGCTATGCAAATTTGAGAAGACTAAGGCTTGATTAAATGGAATTTTGCTGAACAACTCCTGCAGGTGCTGGGTTTTCTCCTCAAATGTTTTATGCAGAAGCGGATGGGAATTCACAATTTTATAATACTGCTTCAGCCCTGAGCATGAAACCAAAAAATACTATCAGATTAAGGGTTGCCATAAAAACATGAACAGTGCTATGTTGCTGTCAATATGTGCCACTGCAGCTAAAACAAAGACTAAATGTAAACAAGCATGCACATGCCAAATAAGAACCTACAGGACAGGCTTTTCTTAAAAAGCTGAAATATTTTTGGCACCGATAGGAGAAACAGTTACACTCATCACTGACATTTTAAATACATCAATACCAGAATCAAATACTTCGTAAGCTAATCAACTCACCTGTGGAGGGGAATTAGGAAGCATCACAAATTTTAAAGGTGCATGTTTTGGTTTTAGTATACCCTTTTCATCTGTCGATAACATCGCCATAAACAAACTTCTACTTACCAATGAGACTCGGATCAGTAGGGTTCAACCTCACAAATGTTGGCTCTCTCATGTACCTGGTCAAAGCATTAGCTAATGATTCAGGATAAGTAGCTGAAACAGCAAGCATCTGTTTATTGGCTGGTAGTGAAGAGTAAATCCAACTGTGAGATAAAGAAATGGAAATTACTAACAAATACGTATCTAATCCAGTGATGAATGTATGAGGTGTTTTTCTTACTTGATTTGTTCCTGAAAGCTGCCTTCTTCTAGAAGCTTGTCTGCCTCATCAAGAATGAAAAGCCGGATACTGGCTGTATTCAAGTAGTCCAACTCTATGAGCTGTTTTATTCGACCTACATATGAAAAAAAAAGCAAAAGGAACTTCAAAAATATTAATTGAAAGGTTCTAATGATGAGTTTTGCAATTTTTAAAAAAATTAATTTTATAAGCCTTCAAAAAAGGGCATATTGGGAATAATCTCTGGCTAAAAATATCTTTCTGGTCTAAATGTCTTTGGCACTAACCTTTGAGACTATCACCTATCACTAAAAAAAAAAAAAAAAAGAAAAGAAAAGCCACCAACCCAGATTCCAAAAGCACCAGTAATTGTGAATTATCATGCGGTATCTGGAGCACAGTGAAGCTCATCCATACCTGGGGAGCCAACCGCTATGTGGCACTTCTTTAGTCTGATTTTGTCCTGGTTCAAAGGAGTCCCTCCAATGAAGACATGGCATTCCAAGCCTTCCATTTTTATTCCGATAGTTGTGATTACAGCATGAATCTGCACAGCGATCTCTCGCGTAGGAGCCAAGATCAGAATCTGTAAGGGCCGAGGATTAAATATGAAAGCTGCAGAAGGGCTCCGAAGATGAAAGCCCAACGTCGAGTCGTGATGATTTCAAATACTGCGTCTCAAGGCGCCAGTGCCGTTTTCCCAAGAAAAAGAGCGATTCTCTCTCGCAAAGCAAAGCCCCCCCCCCGCCACCCACCGCGTACCGGCAAAGGCGGGCCGGGCCAGCGCGCAGCAGCGGCCCGGGGCCGGGGCTCACCTGCGTGGCGGGGCTCTCCAGCAGCACCGCGTCCAGGGCGATGGTGGAGAACACGCAGGTTTTGCCAGTGCCGGACTTGGCCTGCACGATGAGATCTGGAAAGAGCCGCCACAGAGGTCACCGGAGGCCCCAGGGTGCCCCCCTCTACCCGCCGCCCCGCGCCCGGCCCGCCCGCTCACCCAGGCCGCAGCGCCCCAGCGGGATGGCCTTCAGCTGGACCGGCGACGGCCTGTGGAACCCAGCCGCCTCCAGCCCCGCCAGCACCGGCGCCGACAGCAGCAGCGACCCGAAGTCGGACGGGCCGCCGGGCACCAACACGTCGCGCGTACGGAACCGTCCCTCAGCCGCCGCCGCCGGCGGGTCCGCGGGCGCCGCCATCTTACGGGGGGGGCGGGCGGGAAGAAAGCGGCGGAGGGCGGCGCGCTCGCGAGACGCGCTTTGAGCCCGCACCGCGCATGCGCACTGGGCGAACACCCCCCCCCCCGTTCTCCCTCAGCGCCCCGCGCCGCCAGGGGGCGCC